CCTGCCAAGAAGGACTTGGGGATGTTGGTTGATGAGAAAATGAACATGGGCCGGCTTCAGTGTGCGCCTGCAGCCCAGAAAGCCAACCGTATCCTGGGCTGCATCAAAAGAAGCGTGACCAGCAGGTTGAAGGAAGTGACCCTGCCCCTCTACTCTGCTCTTGTGAGACCTCACTTAGAATCATAGATTCATAGAATAGTTAGGGTTGGAAAGGATCTTAAGATCAACAAGTTCCAACACCCTGTCATGGGCAGGGACACCTCACACTAAACCATATCACCCAAGGCCTCATCCAACCTGGTCTTGAACACTGCCAGGGATGGAGCATTCACAACCTCCCTGGGCAACCTATTCCAGTGCCTCACCACCCTAACAGGAAAGAATTTCCTCCTTATATCCAATCTAAACTTCCCCTGTTTAAGTTTGAACCCATTACCCCTTGCCCTATCACTACAGTCCCTAATGAATAGTCCCTCTCCAGCATCCCTATAGCCCCCCTTCAGATACTGGAAGGCTGCTATGAGGTCTCCACGCAGCCTTCTCTTCTCCAGGCTGAACAGCCCCAAATTTCTCAGAATGAAGACATAAGGGATTTTAATTTCCTAGTACTCTTTCTTCCAAAACAGCATTTAAGCATTATGGAAAAGTATAACTGTGTTTTCAGTTCCATTAGTGAAAGCAGACTTGGTTTTTATGCCAAAGATTCTTGAACATTTGTCACACACCTAAATTTTTTAAACGTGGGAGGACAGCTTCTTTAATTCTCATGAATACCAGTATCCATACACAGAGACATGCATGTATGCATACCTGGAAAGACTAGTGGCAGATATTAACAGACAAAGAGGAGAACAGAAAACAGCTTTTATAGAAGGAATGATAGTAAACACTATTTTCCACTGGAAATACTCTGTGGGTCAGATTAAGAAGTCCTGAAACAGCAAGGATAATAGTATTGATTTGGAAGGAATGTCTGGTTAATTTTTCAGAAGGCGTAGATTCCTCAAAAAATCAATAACTTTCTGCTGTATCTTTATTTTTCTGGATAAACTGTGTCTGTCTAAGAAACTTGATCCTACACTCGGTGAGATTCATAAAACATTCACAGACATAGACAGCACAAAAGAAATACAAGCTTTCCCAAGCAGCAGTGAGCATTTAACCCCAAGGCAGGACAAAGTGAATTATTCTGACTTTATGTAGTGTTGTCCTTGCAAAGATGTGATTTCTTTTTTTTTTTTAGTGCTATAATTTTCTTTATTTTGGCTGGCAATACCCAGGCATCTACTCAGAAATTCTTTTAAAGGTTTCCCTTTGCCCCATGAATATTACCTTATCACATTTTACATTTTTTAAAGCATATGAAAGACTATTCATTATTATAGTCTTATTATTCTTAGAAATGATAAAAGAAGGAATGCACATGGCACTCCTGCTACAGTAGGCTAGCAAATGCTCTTTGAAGGAGAGATAACACAGCCAGAAGGACAATGAAAGGAAGCACATAAAATTCAGGAATTTTACCTGCAGGAGAATAGAGCAAACTCTACCTTGAATACCATGCTGTGAATCCTGTCTGTGCTGTTAGCCACCAAATTAATCTGTCTGCATCTGAACTATTCAGCTTCATTGATTACAGAGCACCTAAGGAAATAAATATCTTGAGATAAGCACCCACATTTGCATATCTAGAACTAAACCTTTCCTCTATTTTTTTTTGGAGAGATGCTGACTTTAACTACGCAGACATATTACACAACTCCTGATCTCAGTTAGTTTTCCAAGTGTATTAAATTTGTCTTTACATCATACAGTTTACTCTGTGCTAAGGTGGCAGATTTTATGTTGTGTCAGGTGGACATAAAAAGTAATCAAGACTTATATCCAGTGTAGAACATCTTCAGCTCATATGAAAGCCCATAGCCAAGAGTTGCATCCTAAGTAGGAGTCTTCCTTAATCACATGAAAGTCGGTCAGGCGCTAGTCACTGCTGTTCCTCTTAAAGGCAGCGAATTAAATGAGTTGTGAACAGCATTCCCCTCTCCTCCTTAATCTGCCTGTCCCTTCCACCTCAGTCCCTTACAAGCAATGAGTGAAAATACTGACAGGGCAATTTCACACCAAATGAACTCATTTTCTGCAACAATTTTGATGTCTCCCCTGCCTCCCCCAAACCCAAATTTGTATTTTAAATGTTTTGCAGATATTCATATGTATTTGGTTCCTTTTGTTATAAAAAGATTATTTAGAAAGTCTGTAACAAATTTCCTGTGGCAATACGAAGGGAAGGAGAAGTAGTTAATTAGTACTAGAATAAAAACCCCTCCTTCAAACATTGAACAATGAAGCACAGGACTAGGATGAAAACCTACAGTAGTGGGTGTCACCTTGAATACTGTTACTTAATCGTTATGTCTGCACAAGCACAAACACCTCTTTACAGGGAGATGCCAAGCATGTTACAATGCACTTTGAAGCCTGAGCGTGAACTCAAGACTCCATGTAGCTACAGCATTCTTGGAGAATCACGGAATCATAGAATCACAGAATGGCTTGCGTTGGAAGGGACCTTAAAGATTATCTTCTTCCAACCCCCCTTGCCACGGGCAGGAATACCTTCTACTAGACCAGGTTGCTCAAAGACCAATCCAGCCTGGCTTTGAACACTTTCAGGGTTGGGGCATCCACAACTTCTCTGGGCAACCTGTTCCAGTATTTCACCACTCTCATAGAGAAGATATTTTCCTAATATCTAATCTGAATGCTGAAGCAAATGTAAACTCAAACAGAATTTCTTTCCCCACAGAATCAGTGTCAGAAAGAGTGTAAAAACCTGGATGAATCCTCAATTTTTCATATCTTGAAGTTATTTTTGGTGAAACACTGCAGCAGTGAAGACATAAAACCTTAGCAGCAGAGATGGCTGTGGTTACAGAAATTTCCGTTGTTTTAGGTAACTAGCCACACTGTTGGTCAGAATATATACACAAAAAACCCAAAACAAAACAAAACCAAAAAACTCCACTAAATTATAAACTATATAGTTTTATTTTCTCTTATAAATTCAGTGTTGTGCCATCTGAGGTTTGGTGGGGTGTTTTGGTGTTTTTGTTTTTCTTTTCAGCAAAACTTACAGCAACATGCAATAAAAAAGAAAAAAATATTGTTAATTTAACTTTCACTTATTTTTCTGGATTCTATTCCTTGAAATTTTATGTCACAAAATTTAACAAACTTTTAAAAAACTGTCTTTGGATGTGGAACTGAGAAATACATCTGTACTGCTTATCACCTCCAATAACTACAGTTATCCTGCTTAGGTAGTATCTCAAGGACAAACTATAATAGGTTAGGAGCAGGAAGTGTAAGCACTGAAGTATGTCCGTATCTGGCTGGAGTGCGTTTGTAACAAAGAAGATTCTGTAAGAATGCAAAGGTTGCTTGAAATCTTACAGTAATAGATTTTCTTATGAGCTATCTGTAATCACCTAAAACTGATCTTATTCCAGTTACATTGGGAGAAATCCTTTCTCACAGTTGATGAGAAGGCAGGTAGCAGCAGCATACTCTTTCAACATGCATCCATGCACAGGACAGTAAGCCGATTTTGCATCCTTATGCCAACATTAGACAAAAGCCTTCCCACAGAGAAGCCATTCTGCTATATTTTTATTTCATCATCCAGGAGCTAAAATTCCATGACAGTTTCTAATTCTGATGCTTCAGACCAAAATTAACCACTTATTATGGGGAAAAAAAAACCTTTGCATTCTGTCGTGGTTTAAACCCAGTCAGGTAACTTGTTCACTCACTCCCAGTGAGTGGTGCTGAGCTGACAACAATCGAGGTCCGTGTCCGTCTCACCCCCCCCCCCCCCCCCCCCTTCCCGCACCGGGGCTCTCCCGGGAGCGGGGAGGAGGATCGAGAGAGTGCAACTCCTACGGGTTGAGACAAGAACAGTCCAGCAACAAATCACCACCGCTACTACCAGCTAAAACAATGATAAGGGAAAATAACAAGGGAAGAGAATACGATACCACCGGCCAAGAAAGCGAGTTCCACCCGGAAGCCCCTGTCCTTCCGGGTAACTCCCAGTTACCCCCCACCCCGGGCATGACGTGCTGTGGTATGGAATACCTCCCCGGCTAGCCCGGGTCAGGCGCCCTGTCTCTGCTTCCTCACAGCTTCCCCTCCTCCCTGGCAGAGCATGAGCCTCACAGAGTCCTTGGTCAGGGTAAACATCACTTAGCAACAACCGAAAACATCGGCTTCACCAACACTGTTCTCAAACTAGAAGTCAAAACACAGCACTGCACCAGTTAACACAAAGGAAAAACATGACTGCTACTGCTGAACCCAGGACACATTCTTACTTCCTAATGCCAGAATGATGGAAAAAACTTGATACTCAAAGTACAAAACTCCCTGTGGAATAATATGAGGTCCTAGTGACCTAATTTATCCCAGATAAAAGAACTCTGACCTCCACAGATCTGCACTAAGGTAAGGATTAATTTGATTTTATGAGTAAAATTGCCACAAATCTTAAATTTCAAAATGGAATGAAGCCAAGGCTAGTCAAAACCCACAGTTTCCCTTGGTTTAATGTCAAATCCTTAAGCTTCCTGTGGTTTTCATGAGAGGACACACATCAGCCTGAGATTAGAAAAAAGAAGATCCACATTTTTAGCCTTTGGTACTTTCCGCTGCATTTTATGCCTAGAAAAAAATTCATGTTATCCTAAGGTTACATTATGAACATTTTGTAAACAATCTACTGAGAATAACCAGAGTATATATTACAAAAATAAAAATAAATAATACTATGTCCCGGGTTCAGCAGTAGCGGTCATTTTTCTCCTTCTTGGTAGCTGGTGCAGTGCAGTGTTTTGACTTTCAGCTCGGGAACAGAGCTGATAACAATGATGTTTTGGTTTGGCCAAGGGCTTTGTGAGCCTCATGCTCTGCCAGGGAGGAGGGGAAGCCAGGAGGAAACAGAGACAGGACACCTGACCCAAACTGACCAAAGAGGTATTCCATACCACAGCATGTCATGCCCAGGATGGAACTGAGGGTTATCCGAAAGGGCTAGGACTGCAGGGTTGGAGGAGGTATCAGTCGGTTCTTGGTTGGGCTGGGGGGGGGGGGGGGGGGTATTGGTTGGCTGGTGGTGAGGTGATGTATTCTCTTCCCTTGTTATTTCCTTTATCATTGTTATTATTGGTGGTAGCAGTAGTGATTTGTGTTATACCTTAGTTACTAAACTGTTCTTATCTCAACCAGTGGGAGTTGCATTCTTTTCGATTCTCCTCTCCATCCCTCTGGGAGCAGGGGGAGGGCAAGAAGGGGGGGAATTGGGTGAACGAGTTGCCTGACTGGGTTTAAACCACGATATACTATGTTGTTTTTAATACTGTACACATTTTTTCTATATTTCTTCCAAGTACCATTTGAAATTTCTTCTTGCATGGAAGATTGTTTCTTTTAAATAAGAGAGGAAAATGCATTTTTAAACTCTAATTTGTTCATAACCATTGTCATTGATCAAAGACAAAGCTAGTTTTTAAACCATGTTCTATAATAACAATAGGAACTATAATAACATATGCTGAATGCATAAGCAAAATGCCAACAACTAGAAGATTAAGGCTTTCTCTTGACTTCATGCAAAACATTTCACAGCTGGTATTTCAGCAGAAGCATGCTCAGTGCAAAACCTTGTTGCCAAGAAAAATGTTTCATTTTTACAGCTTTTTCTCTTTATCAGCGTTTGTTTTAGAGTACAGAAGGGTTTATGAAGAATATTTTGGTTTTAAGAGTATAGAAAAGAAACTGATCCCTTCTCAGACTTGCTCAATCTTTTTATCCCTTTAAATAAATTGCTTTCATTTTCTTTTCTAAAAGGAAAAGCACATTGGGTGCAAAAAGTCAAAGGACATCAAAATGTTCAACTTTTGTTGCTAATGGTCAAATTAATTGAATATCAGCGCAAGCTAGACTTGGAAATCAGCAGTCTTCCTTTCTCCTGTTCAATTCTTCCTCCCATCTATTCCTGTGATCATCTCTATTCCAAATCCATTACAGTGCTGTTGCTCTTTCCTTGTATCCTATTTGCCTATCAAAAGGAAAGAAGATTTATTCTTTGAATCTTTTCTGAGTTGAAACTTGCTGATGGCACTTGGAAAAGAACAGAAAAAATATGTACAGTGATGCTTCAAAGTGGGGAGTGAGGTGTATTTGAGAAAGCTTCCACCCAAATTAATCTTTAGCCAGTCTTCCGCCTAGTGGTTACAGTAACAAGAGCTGTAGCTTTCAGAGCACCAACTCTTGGCCCTGTTGGTGTTAGAACTTCATTACTTTCTACAGGGTCAATATTTCACCCTGAGTTTATGGCCAAATAGTACATAAACCAAAACAATATTTCCCTACATATGGAGATCTCTCAAGATTTCTGAGGTGTTTTGGTATAGAAAAAAAAATAAAAAATAGTGCTCTTCTACAGAATGCATCATATAGGTTATGTTATTCCTTGCAAGAAACATGAACGATTACGGTGTTTGCAAGTATTTGCAGGCTGTTGTCTGGTGATGACTCTTCTGCAAGCTAACTGGCACAGAAACTCTAGATGAGACATTACAGTAGTGGGAACTTGCTAGCTCTCCCTGATTCCCTTTGTGCTCCAAAAAGAATGATTTTCTAGATGAGGTAAGTCACAGTACCGTACTTTGGAGAGGGACATTCAGTCCTTCACTGCTGCAGTTTTGGTCAGCAGAGATTCTTTGGGCCACCCAAGAAATCTTTTAGGCATGAAAGGGCCAGAAATGACAGCTGTTACACCGCAGTAGCTGTTACAGCACAGGCAATGCCACAAGCTTGCTCTTGTTGCCAGTGTCAAGTTTTAACTTTTTTTATTGCTTCTAGCTGCATCCAATGTCAGTGAGTCTCTTAGGCAACACGGTACCAGTGACATCTGAGAGACCAGCTTGGAGGCAGCTGTTTTAAAAAATTCAGCCTCTGGGAATTCCTATAGTTACATTCACAAATGGATCAACTTCATCATTTAGAAGATCCCAGATGCAGTGAGAGTTAATGTAATTGTAAAGAACAGCTACATGGATTAATATCTGAAGAACAAGAGAAATAGCCCATGGGAGTGAAAGAACTGCTACAAGAAGATTAAACTTGAACTAAATGCCAGAACAGAACAAAGGAGAAATATGTTCCAAACCCACGTTGTGATATATAAAACACTGATCAAGAATATACCTCTAAAAATGGTTTGAATTACTACCTGTGATAAATCAAGCTGGTCCTCGTGTTTATAAGCCACAGCTTGGTACAGCTTCCACAACAAGTACTAAATAAACCCTACAGCTGTATTAGTTAACTATTATTATTGCAATATCTCTAAAATGTAGCCTACTCTCATTTTTATTACAATTCTAGATCAGGATAAGTGAAAAGTGCAGTCTTTTTAGGATTTGCAGCACCCAGCCTTGTGGGAGATAAGCTACCACAGGCTCTGATCTTTAGATATACATTAATTTATTATAGTTAATAACTATACTGATGAAAATGGTGTTCACAAAGGTTTGAATATTAGCACTATTGTGCAGACAGAGGTCATACAGGGTTCTCCATAGACCCTTTCAGTGCCTCTTAATCCATACTTAATCCCCTTACTTTTACAGGCCTACAGTTTTCACACATTGTTCTGCCAACATACATCAATCCTGGTCTATGAAGTGTCCCCTGTGATTCCTGTTCCACACCTTTCTTTAGCAGAAAAATGGATGTCATTCTTAATGGCATAGTGAAATCTGTAATGTACATAAACTACATCCAGAGGATCATATTGAAGCCATTAAAATGTTTTTCAGTATGGGTCCTAATGCAGAATTGGAGCACTAATCTCTAAAGTGCATATAGATGATTTACCACTTTAGCCCCCACTTTTAGCTGTGATTTTATTATTTGTTTGCTCTGTAACTTTCATCTATTTCCTAGACCCTTGAGCATTCAGAAAGTCTTGGCAACATAACTGCTTTCAAACATACTGTGTCTGGCTGACAGATCTGAAGTGTTCAGAATATACCTTCATTATCCAAACTGGAATTAATTGGTTCTTTGCAGCACAGATTATATTAATATGAAATAGGCTATTATACAGTAGGAATACAGCATTTAAAAACCCTGTGGAATGGACACAATGCTCACTAGCTCCATATTGATTTCTCTAAGCAGGAATTATGATCAAAAACTAATTTCAAGCTGAGTTAAGTTTCAGTAAGACTGAATAAAGCTTTCCATTAATTCAACTACTACACACCAAAGAGTGAGATAGCATTCATAGAATGGCAAATTCTTCTGAATGATTTCTAAATCACTGAGATTCTCTTAAAAACAGCTGGTAGGATTTACTGATATGCATTCAAGAAAACCTCAAAGCTTGGTGCAGCACTTCAAAGTGATTATTTTGCTACTTAAAGCTGGGAACTTCGATTTTTATTACTTCTTGTTAGTGAAATAGGTGGAAAAATACAGATATTATGTGGCTTTCTTTGCATGTGTGTATTCTTTCTTCTGCATAAGAATTAAGAGATTTGAAATATTTGGAATATCTAAATTAAATATGCAATTAAAAAAGAAAAAAATAATTTTTCTTACTGTTGAAGTCTGGCAATTAATTCAATGACTTCACTATATCCTTAAAGGATTCTGAGTGTGAAGAACAAACACCTCTGGAGACAGGTTTTGAAACATGGCATAAATCATGGTCTCTTGAAATAGTGGATATAAACTGTTCTGATGGTTCACTGAAAAATGTTTCAGTGGCCATTTGGTTTAAGAAATGCTATTTTCCTCCTTTTCTATTTGTCTTGGATAGAACATGTAAGGACTGGGAAATTGATTAGTGGTTTAGGAGAACCTGCAAGAAGAAATCAAAGAGGAGAGAAAGGTTTCTCTCAATCATCACATGCAATTTCTCTCAATCACCACAAGAGCCATGATACAATACATTTGTCTTTGACATTTTTGCATCAAATATTTCCAGCATTTGCAATAGCATGATCTTATTGTCAATAAATATCAGTATATATAAAGTACAGTCTGTGGTCATGGGAACAAAACCCTGTAATGGCTAGACAGAGTTGATCTTGATACAGAAATGTTCAGGGTAAAATCTGCAATTATGTGATAGTAATCATACCACAAAAAAGGTACTGTAAAATATAAAAATGTAAAATATCTCCTCAATGAATTTCTCCTTTGGACAAAATTTATTTATTCTTCTGAGGTAAAGATAGCATAGCAAGACTTTTGATTTTTGCTGTAAACAAATCTGCTCCTAGTCAGAACATGTTAGTCTTTCATCAATAGCTCTCTTTCAGTCTTTGGATGAATTAATGTATCTACAGAAAGATAAGTAGATTTTATTTATCTAGATCCTACATGTGCAAATTATTATACTCTTAATTATGCTTAAAACTTCATTATTTTTTACAGCTTCCCCAGAAGGGAAGGTGGAGAGGGAGGTGCTGAGCTTTTCACCCTGGGATCCAATGATAGAACACATGGGAATGGTTCAAAGCTGCTGGGAGGTTTAGACTGGACATTAGGAATAATTTATTTACTGTGGGTGTGGTCAAACACTGGAACACGCTTCCTAGAGTGGTGGTCAATGCCCCAAGCCTGTCAGTTTTTAAAAGAGATTCAGACGATGCCCTTAACAGCAGTCTTTAACATTTAGTGAGCCCTGAATTCATCAGGAAGTTGGACTACATGATCAGTGTAGGTCCCTTTCAACAGAAATATTCTGTTCTATTCCATTCCATTCCACTCTGTAGGTCTGTTGGTGATGTTCTTAATATATCCATATTTTTTTATGTATTAAAAATATCATTATATGAATGTAATTGTTTATGTGTATTACTAACAGACTCACTCTAGCTCATTTAACTCATAAAAGATAAAGACTTAAGAAGCAGCAGAAAGTAAGATTCTTTATATTGCCTGTCAGAAAACTCATT